TTTTATTTTTTTTTTTGTTTATCAAGTGTTTGCATATAGTTACAAAGGAGGAAAATGGGAAGCCTGAGATGTGATGGGGTTAGGAAAACAGCATTTTAGTCCTTTTAAGATAAAAATTTTGCTTGCTTCTCTCTCATGTGTTCGTAATTTGATGTATCTTGGTTCTTTCATTCCTAGCATACAACAACTGTTTACAACTCAGGAATATATAGTACTTGTATTTTTATCAATTGTAATCCTTTTCGTTTAACGATATCATCATTCTAACTTTTACAGGCATTCAGTTGGCCGACCTGGACCTCCTCCATCGCTCGATTTGAAGCCATCAGCTTTCGACCCAAAGGAGAAATTTTGGACAAAATTTCCTCCCGAGGGTTCCAAAATTACACCACCCCACCAATCTTGTGAGTTTAAATGGAAAGATTATTGCCCCAAAGTATTCAGGTGAGGTTTTTTTTTTTTTTTTCTTACCCGAGCTGATTAAGGCATTCTGCACGTGTTATAAGCTTGTAAAAATTTGGTCTTTATATAGTGGTGTGAGTCTTGAAAATCCAAGTTCGAAAAATCCTTGTCTACTTATTTGCAGGACACTGAGAATGTTATTCAAAGTGGATCCAGCAGATTACATGCTATCGATATGTGGCAATGATGCATTGCGGGAACTTTCATCTCCCGGTAAAAGCGGAAGCTTCTTTTACTTGACGAATGATGATCGTTACATGATAAAGACGATGAAGAAAGCTGAAGTAAAAGTGAGTTTTTACTTTTTACCATTTGCTAATAATAATGTGCCTTACATACTAATCACCACTAAAAATTAGGTTCTCCTGAGGATGCTGAACGCATATTATAACCACGTTCGAGCCTTTGAGAACACGCTAGTGACCAAATATTATGGCCTGCATTGTGTCAAGTTGAACGGGCAGAAGGTATGAACAAACATATGAATGACCCGTTTTAGGTTATATTTGGTAGTCATATAAGCTAGCTTATAGCGTCTTTTTGAACTTATAAGCTTTCTCTATTCAAATCAGCCTCATTTTGTAGGACTAGCTTTTTAAAAAGCTCGAGTTTATCTCATAAGCTTCTTTTGGTAGCTTTTCAAATAAGCTCGTTGAAATTTTTATTTCAGCTAGCTTATCAGCTAATTTTACCAAACACTTTTATCATGTAAGCTAGTTTTTCAGCTATAAGTCATAGGATATAAGCTATAAGCTCGAAAATCACATATAAGCTATAAAATAGCTTATCAACTATCAACTAGTTTTACCAAACATAGCCTTTGTGTTTCTTCTTTTCTTCATCAAGGTAATGTGGTTCGTTTGGTTTTAGGTTCGGTTCATCATCATGGGAAATCTATTCTGTTCAGAGTACACTATTCATAGAAGATATGATCTGAAAGGATCGACTTTCGGCCGGCTGACAGATAAGCCCGAATCGGAAATTGATGCAAACACAACACTCAAAGATCTCGATCTCAACTTCATTTTCCGGCTCCAAAAGACATGGTTCCAAGAATTCAGGAGGTAAAACAAAACCGAATTCAAAATTACATCGTATAGCTTGAATTCATGTTCGAGAGAACTATTTCAAAATAAAAAAATAAAAAAATATTACCTTCCCATGCAGACAAGTCGATCGGGACTGTGAGTTTCTTGAACAAGAGAGGATTATGGATTACAGCCTTTTGGTTGGTCTTCATTTTACAGAGGCATCGAACGACGAGCACACTCCAACCGGGACTTTAACCCCTGTCGGTAATTATATTTACTATACACTTTCTCTGTTTTTTGCCGAAAGAATCTATAATCCGAAACTTGTGCCTTCAATCGATCTGTTAACACAGCTAAATCGAAAATTATGAAAACCGAAGGTGGTTAGAGTTTGTGTATCGAATCTAATGTGTAAACCAGATGCGAAATTTGGATTTAACCGAGCAGAATCATTTGAGAAAACCATAATTATTTTTTGTTTAATCATTTTCCTAGTACAAGGTTAAGAAAATCACAAACTGATATTTTTCTTTGGTGAGCAGATAATGCTGGTTCAGACGAATCAGTTCCTCGTTTATCCCGAGCAGATGTAGACCAGTTGCTTTTAGACCCTGCCGGGTGAGAATATCTATTTGCATTTAGATCCTTTGCATTTCCATTATTATATCAATAGTTTTCACTCACCAAAAAATGAAAACTCGACTAAAAGCTCGTTTGAATAAACTTACAAAACAACGTAAAAAAAAAAAAAAAAAACACAATCACATTTGTGTCTCTGACATTGATTCATTAAAAACTCGTCTGAAATCCTCGCTTTTTTCCTCAGATGAGAATATCTATTTGCTTTTAGATCCTTACATTTTCCGTTATTATATGACTAAGTTTTCACTCACCCAAAAATGAAACTCGATTAAAGCTCGTTCGAATGAACTCACAAAACAACGTTAAAAACACCATCACATTTGTGTCTCGACTTTGATTCATTAAAAACTTGTCTCGAATCCTCGTTTTTCTTTTTTTTTCCTCAGGTGGGCCAGCATTCGACTCGGGATCAACATGCCAGCTCGTGTCGAAAGAACCGAGAGGAAACAAGACACAGAGCTTCAGTTGGTAGGGGAGCCCACAGGAGAATATTACGATGTGGTAATGTTCTTCGGCATTATCGACATCCTTCAGGATTATGACATCACCAAGAAACTCGAGCACGCGTACAAATCCATTCAATACGACCCGAACACCATATCAGCAGTCGACCCAAAACAGTACTCGAGGCGTTTTCGCGACTACATTTTCAAAGCTTTTGCTGAGGACACGTAAGATGCCCGGTTTTCGTGGGTTTTCTGCGCTTTTTCTATTTATTTTTTATTTTTTCTGTGAGCATTTTTACATTGCATTGTGTTAATATAGGTATTTGTGTTGCCTCTTGTTAATTATTTTTTTCCTTTTCTTCCTCTTTTTGTTGGGAATATATGTTGTTTTGATTTTACATTCTTTGGTGTATTGTTTTTTTGTCCTTGTGCTTAGCAGGGAGAGAGTTTGTATTAGTAATTTGTGTAATAGAAATTTGTCAACTGTTGTCTGCTAGATCTTCTTAAGTATATACTCAAATATATCAATTTTAACCTTTTGGGTTTATACATTTTTTTTATAGAATTATAATGCAGTAAAGAAAAAAATTAGTCCTAACTTATTTCTTTTTATTTTCACAAATATTAGATAAATGCAAATTAATTCATTACATATGCAAATTGATTCACAAATATTAGATGAATTGTATTAGTGATATAATGGTAGGTAATTAAAGAAAAAAGAAATCTAACTTATTAATTAATTGTATTTTTCAACTCGAACGAGGATGGAACGGTCAAGAAATCAGTTGATAATATTTTACCATTCGTAAATCGGAGTTAAAATGAAAACCAAAATTTTAGGGGGCGATTGGATATGATTTGAATAGTAAAAAACCAATCAAAACTCAAATTTAACTAACTTTAACCCAACTCCAATATCTCTAATATTATCAATATAATAGTATATAACATCAAACAATCATTCTTACACATCACATCAACTCTAATTCACTATTCATCCATTCACATAATTTTAACTAACCACCACTTCCAATTATTTTTATCATACTTTAAATCAAATCAACTTTAATTATTTTATTTAATATTATATTAATATATTTACTAACAACTAACTATACTACCTTTTTTAAAATTAATTATAGTTAAAAAAACAAACAAATAAAATAGTTGAATTCATCACACGGTCACACCCTTAGTTTTGGCTAAACAATACATTAATGTGAATAATTCTTTAAACAAGATAAAGGATGTCATTATTACTATAGGGCCCAAAATACACAAGATGTCATTATTGTTATAGCATACCATTTACACATGAAAGGCCCAAGTAAATAAAGGGCCATAAATAAGAGTGACACAAAAAGGCCCAATCAAGTTAATTGAGGGGAGCGACCGAATATTGAAGAGCAGAAATATCATCATCCCTCAGTCGACGGTCCATATCTCCGATCGGCAGAAGCCGCCGGCACGACGAACTTGGCGGCGCGATCGGAGCTCCCAAAGGTAGGTTCTTACTTCAAACACCACTTTTCCTAATGACTTAATCCGAAATCCCATGTGACTAATAATTTTTCAGCTACAAATTTGATGTCCTTAGCACCTGCGTTGTGTGTTCTTCTTTTATTTGTTTGGGCTTTTGATTGTTGTAACGTGTGATCTTTTTGTTTTTTGTTTCAATCAGACAATGCAACTGTTTCTCATGCAAATATCGACCCTCTTAATTGGGCTTAATCGTCACAATTGGGCTACCCGTTTGACCTTTCTCATGCAAATGTCGATCCTCTTAATTATTATAAGTCTCAAAGGTCACTAAAGTTTACGCGGGAATCATGCTTTTGAGATTGGTTTTGATGTGAGTATCTTAGACTTTTTTTTCACTTAATAGTCAACATAGATCAAAACTATAAAGATTTTGGGGTATCTTGAAATGGAAACATAAGACGATAAAAGTCAAACACTAGAAACATTCAAACTTATGAAAAGATTTTTTTTTCGAACGACGGGCATTGGAAGCAAAGTCGTATGTGCAGTGTCTCTATGAAATCGTGCATGCATGATAAGAGATTTGTCTGGATTCCTCCAAATTTCGAGCACTCGGAATCAATCTGGAGATTTCGAGGTTATGCTGCATCGAACGAGATTATAGTTACATTCACAACTGCTTTACGACATTACGCGTGATTAGTTTATTTTCATTTTTTATTATAATTACTATTATTATTGAAAAATGCAAGTGCCAAAATCATGGCACTACCAAAATTGCTCCAAATTAAGTGGGAACCTAATGTGGATTGAAAAAAAGTCCCTTCATGAAGATACAATTTAATTTCACTAATTAAACAGCCTAAATAAAAAATTTATGATTCAGATCACTAATTTTAATATAGATACTTTAACAAACACGCTAAGGTGAGTTTCAACCCACCGTATCAAATTATCAATCATCATCATTACTAGTTTAATCACGTATCAAGTTTTTTAATTAAATTTTACATTAAAGAATTATACAGTACGACGTGCAATAAAAAATTAAATTAAAATAAAAAAAAAAATGTAGTGGGCTAATTAATTTAGAGAATTTTCTTCACGGGCCTTGACTAATACACGTTACTCTCGGCCCATGTGTCAGATTTTCAAATAAAAAAGCCCGACAAAATCTGCATACATTGAAAAATGAAAATTTAGGGTTTATGTTTTGAATAGTAAAAAATGTAAAAAATTTTATTTATGGTTAAGTTTAAGAAAAAGTGGTACGATTAATTGTTAGTGGATATATTAAAATAGTATTTAAAATAAAACAGTTAAAGTTGATTTGATGTAAAAGTAAGAGAAAATGATTGGAAGTGATAGTTAGTTAAAATTAGTTAAAATTATGTGAGTAGATGAATAGTTAATTAAAGTTGATGTGATATATAATAATGATTTGTTGATGTTATTTAATTATATAATAATATTGAAGATAGTGTGGTTGAGTTAAAGTTGAGTTAAATCTGAATTTGAGTAAAAAAAATTATTGTACATTCTCATTGTTTTATAAATGTTGTCACTATAGGGCTTCGAAATGAATTTGAGCGGCTTGTGAGCACTCAAGTCAAAGCTCGACTCAAGTTTAAGTAGCTCGAACTTGAACTCGAAGTTGTATATTATAAATTCGAGTGTTCCACGAGCC